TATGGGTTGTGATAAGAGTTGTACAAGCCCCCAATAAAGTGATTTTTTAAAAAAAATCATCACCAAATATGCAAATAAAGATAGATCAAATAGAAGGAAAAAAAGAGAAAGAGCTTTATATACAAGAGCAATTAGATATTGAGACAACATCCCAGCCCGATATTAGCCCATATGTCCAATACCAATCTAGTCTATAAAGTCTTCTTCAGACTCATGAAACACATGCAATGATGCCAAGTGCAGAAAGATCAAAGGCCAGCGGGTGGGAAGTCTTGTGGATCCAGTGGTGCTGTAGGCATCTCAGCGCTGGCAGGGTTCTCCACATGGCTTCTCCGGCTCCAGAGGTCTAGAGTAGTTCCATGTGCTTTGTCAGCTGAGAGTCTCTCAGGAAGTAAGTAGTGAGAGTCTCTCCCTTCTCCAAGGAGGAAATCCAGGAATTCCCAGAATCCTCAGAGGAAGGCCATGCCCACACAGAGGCCTCATTGGCTATGACTGGATTGACAGACTAGGCCCCACCCCTTCACTCTTAATCCTCTCAAGTCCCAAATTGACACCAGATTATTTAACTACCACAGGCACCATTTCCCCAGGCCCCTGGGCTTTGTTTTCCCCATTCTTGCATATCTGCCCCAGGCTTCCATTTCCCATTGGGATCATCGAGCTAGGTGTGATTCCTGGAAGATGCCTCACCAAGTAGAATATGACTACCCTCGTCAGTACAGATTTGGTCGGATCATAGATTTCAACATCGGCCAACGTGTTCTGAGTTCTCAAAACCTCATTTCTAGGGGTAAAGATCGTTGTCATCTTTTTCTACTGATATCTCTGAATCTTTTACCTCTGCAAAGGACAGAGCCACTGGCTTGTGTAGTAGTTTTGATACAGATGAAGTGAGAATTCAGATGGAAGTCCTAGAGTAAGTTGGCTATGTGTAGGCTCCTTTCCATAGTAGAGGTGAGGCATCCAACAAAGCACATGGAAGAATCCAGCTTTAGGGGGAAGGGCGATCTCTGGTCACCTTGTCTTATCCTCTTGGGGTCAGTCATGGTAGTTTTGCATGATGAAGACCCAGGAACCAGTCAACGCTGGTGGTGCCATGACTGCTGCAGCAGAACCAATTGGTAATTAAGCTTTTGGCATAGGCTCACTCATAAATCTTGGATATTAAATTTGTTTTATTGGCCTTGTGGGTGGGGGGTTGTATTGGGCAGTTTGCCTAGATTCTTCTCCCATAAGTCTCTCTGTAGGGGGCAAGAGATTCAGGATTTTTAACTTCTCCATAGTCTGCTGCCAGGTAGAGGGGACTTTAACATGATGGTTCTTCCCAGGAATGACAGCTATTGAGGCAAGAGTTTTGGAAGATCAGAATAAGTCCCAGCAAGTAATCTGGGTGCTCCTTGGTGTCCTCTGGTGGCGCTCACACCTCTTGGAGATGCTTCTAGACATATCCCTTCCACTCCATCAGGCTCCAACACTGTGGCCTCCAGTGATTGGCATTTTTTTCCAGACCCTAAAATGAACACCACTGGCAGTCTGCACAGTTCCAGAACACAGCAGGAACTTGCTTTTTGACCCTTTCCAAAACTAAGGTCACATTTTTCTCTCCTCTCTGGATTCCTGAGCGCTTACAATCTGTGTTCCAGATTCTCGTCTCTGATTATTTCACACATAGTTGTTATCTTCCCAACAAGACTGTCAGCTCCTTTACAACAGGGGTCCAAGGCTGTTATTTCTTGTGTTGTTCCATGCAATTCTTAAATCCAGGCTGGTTCCATAGTAAATGTTTAATCATACCCTTCTGATTTGGGTTGTATGTTACTCAGTCCGAGTTGGAAAGGGTTTTAGAAACCACCAAAGATGATACTCCAAGAACTCATTTTGGAGCTTGGTGATTATCTGATGCATACACCCCCAAACTTGTTTGACTTACCACCCCTTTCCAGAAAACAAATTACTGAGCACTTCCCACACCCCGTTATGAGAAACTTTTGTTTGATAGCTCATAATCCAGGTTCAGGTGGAGGTGTCTGCTTTTGCAGGCCCCTGGATTGTTCCAGCACTTCTCTGGGGGGGCAGTATCACCCATTTTGGGAAACACTAATCTGATGGAAAGAGAAGTGTTTTCTTGTTGTTGTTGTTCAGTCCCAGTGTAAATGGCTATAGTTCTAAATCTTCAGAAGGTTTTCCTCAAATAGTATCGAGAGTTCTCACTAGACTAAGAGCTAACTGATAATAGTTTTAATCACTTTTTCCTAATACAAATGATTAGTAGATGCCAAACTCTCAGCCTTGTAACGCATCCTTCCATCCACATGGCGGATAGGTATTCTTACTCAGCTTCAGAGACACAGCAGAGGCTCATAGAGGTAGCGGGGATGGTTGAGAGGGCACTGAACTCTGGTTCAGTCAGATGCCCAAATTTATGACCCTTTTCCTATACAAAGAGCCTCTGTAGTGGGGTTCTCCCTTTGACTGAAGCCCCAGGGTTATTATCCACAGGGTTGGTATCACCTGGTACGCTATCTCGTGATATCTTCCAGGATACTAACTACAGGAACATTTTCATAAAAAAATAATCAATTTCTGATGAAATGCTGTACAAAATTTTGGTAGGCAGTCATTTTGTGTCACCCTCTCTGACACTGTCACCTGGTGTCATCTGAACTCTTCCCATACCGGATCATACAGATTCTTTGATTAATGTTAATCATAGGATTATGTGTGGTAAACCCAGTTATTGAGCAAATAATTAGAGAAGCTGAAGAAGGATGGGAGGAATGATTGGAGGAAGTACAGTTAAAATGTTCCTTAGAGGCAAGGATGGAGCAACCTCACCTCATGTACTTAGACACGTTGTCCAGAGAAACTAGTCCCTGGAGGAGGACAGCAAGCTTGGTGAGGTAGAGGGACAGTGGAAAAGGGAGGGCCCTGCCAAGACGGGTGGACACAGTGGCTGTGTTGTCGGGCTCAAGCATAAGAACAGTGTGGGTGTGGCTCAGGACCCGGCAGTGTTTTGCTCTGTTGTATTCAGGGTTGCTATGGATCGGGACTGATTCCGTGGCACCCAACAACAACAATAAGTACAGATGTAAATTGCTTACGTGTAATCGTTCTTAGATTGTGTGGATACTAACAAAAGTGCTTGTAATTTTTTCTACATTGAATTACATTAGTTAGAACACGATTAGTGACTGAGCAGAAGCCTTTTTATTTTTCTCCTTTTCCTTAGTTACTACTTCAATCTCAAAAAAGTTACTGCTAGAGTGTTACAGATACTAATTAACACAGTATTCTAGCTAAAACAGCAGATAATTTGACAAAATAGCTCTACAAATAGCGATGACAACAACAGCAACCACACAGCACATATAGATGCAGCCACACAATTTGAAGTGTCACTGTAATTGGGCCACAACAACAGCTGGGAGCATATTAGAAGGCTCACAGAGCCGGGTAGGCTAGAGCTTTAGCAGTGCGGATATACTGTGCTTATAAGCTGTGCTTTTGTTGTTAAAACTTACTACAGGCACATTTTCATGAAAAGTCATCCATTTCCGCTGAAACACTGCGCACAATTTTGATAGGTAGTCATTTTGTTGTCACCCCCTCTGACACTGTCACCCGGTGTGGTCCACACCCCCACGTTCCCCTTGTGCCACCGCTGAGAAGTCTCCATGTCATGATTGACGGTGCTGGTTTTGCAGCACTTCATGGTGTCTCCAGTTCTTCTAAGAAAATGGTAAAATTCATATGAATGAACTTGAATTCTCTGGTTTGAAGCAGTGATGGGGAAAGTACGGCACAAAACAAATGGACAATGGGAGAAGGGATTGCATCTCCAGAAAAGTCAATCATCACTGCCCTCGGTCTTAGAGCACTAGGACTGAGGACAGGAACAGGTAGTCCCAGATCTCCCTCCAGTAACCATTGCTTGGTGTGGAATTGCTGTTTCTTCCTTGAGTGCTTCTGTTGTGTCCAGAACTCACCTGCCACTAATATCAGTCATGGTTCCCGGGGCAGATCTGTGGACCGCATTCCGCTCACCACCACTACCACCACCACCACCACCACTGCTAAGGTACAAAGACTAAGTTCCCCAGCCTGAGTACAGCCTACTGGATGTACTGGGTCTTTCTGCAAGGCAGACTATTCGCCTTGAATCTTTCCTCTGAGCTTTATATCTAAATAACATTCCTGTGAGTTTTCTAAAAGGTTAGTCCTGGGTCATTGGCACTTAAACCACTTGTTTTGTTAGATCCTTCCCAAGGAGGTTAATTAGACATCTGATAGCCTGCTCTTTTTTATGCCTGAATGATGAGAATAAGTACCCTGTGGTTTATTAACTGTCATGTTAAACCTTTTCCAGTTGTCTTGTGACAAAACAAGAGTTTTATGCCCTGCCTTACCCGGATTCGGTAGGTGAGACAGGCTCTCTGGTTAAGTATGCCAGGATAAATACAATCTGGCTTTGATTTAGGGGAGGGTGCTTTTGTATCTCAAGTTGTGAGTTCAAGGGTCCCACTTCCTCATCCTTCCATCGACTTCGTTTTTCCTTGTGATACCCAGGGGTTGGCACCTAATAGACACTTGGTAATTGCTGGATAAATGAAAGAATAGGCATTACTGTAGAAAGGTTGGTGCCTGAGATGTTTATATCAAACCCTAAGGTAATCATTTGTCACCTTTCCTGTTTTGAATCCTCTGCTTCCCAGAGCAAGAGCCCGGGTCCTTACCACAACGCGGTCCCAACACACCTTTCCTCTTCTCCTACGCCTTACCTTTAACTTCTCAGTAACTTTTCTGCAGTCTTGTAGGCATGGATTTCTCACCGTTACATATCAAGCCCCCCTACAGTGTGTATGCATGTGTTCAGTAATGATGCTCTCTTTCAATCAGTCACTACTGACTGTCAGCTAGGAGCCAGAGAAGGTATGTATTTAAAATAGGAAACATAGTGCTGAGACTTACATTCCCCCCCCTTGTGTTTGAATCCACTACAGTTTGCGGGGACATTATCAGATGGCTTAGGGAAGACGATGGACAATCGGCATCAGTCAGAACGGGAATACATCAGATACCACGCGGCCACCAGCGGTGAGCACCTGGTCGCCGGCATCCATGGCCTGGCTCATGGTAAGTCAAATGATAGCTGGCTGGAAAGGAAAGGCTGGGGCGGGGCCGGGGCTGGGTCACCCAGCTGACTGCCAGTAGGAAAAACAAAGCTGACAGCAGTGGAAATCCTGGCTTGGTGTCCTGTTGTGCCCGATAGCTGTGCAAGCTCTCTTATTTTATCCTGTTAGTGATCCAAATGTGACAGCACGTGAAAGTGCGTCCATCTCTTTTCCAAACGTTCCTTCCCTGGTCTCGGACTGCTGTTTCCTGTGTGTCCCAAGGTGTGATCAGTGGAATCTCTTCTCAGACCCTGTTATGACTTTCTGATCATTCCTTTCAAGTCAGAAAGGAAGCTTGGAACTGGCTGCCAGGTCTGTGGCCTACATCTTTTCTAAGCCTTGCATAAACTCGCATTTGTCCGAGTTACCCATCCCTGGACCCAAGAGATGTAAGTGTTAGCAAGCATTTGCTTGGTCCCAGAGTCTTTGAATTCTGACTCATTTTCCTTTGGTGACATTTTTCTCAGCAGTTTCTTAGCATGGCTGTCAAAACCCTTGGCACCGTGAACCCAGGAAACTTCCAACCATTGTGTCTCAGACAAGCCTCCCAGTCCTGGCTCACTCTCATTCTTTCTACCCCCTCCCCCATCTCCCACCCCTTCCTTACCTATCTAAATTCTGCTCAACCTCTAAGTCCCTACTCAAATGAAGATTTCCCAGTTCCACCTCCTTTACTTAGAATTAAAGACCACCAGAAGCCTGATGGTGCTGTGTTAGGGCGTGATCAGCGGTGTAAACCCACCAGCTGTTGTTCGGGAGTAAAATGAGGCTGCCTGGCAAAGGTTTGCAGTCTCAGAAACTGTATAGAGGGTTGCTATGAGTTAGAATCAGCTGAATAGCAGTGGTTTGGGTTTGGTTTTAGAATACACATAGGATCCCTTGTGGCACAGTGGTTAAGTGCTCGGCTGCTATTGAATGGTTGGCAGTTTGAACTCACCAGCTACTCCATGAGGAAAGATATGGCAGTGTGTTTCTATAAAGCTGTACTGTCTTGGAAACTCTATGGGGGGCGTCTAACCTGTGCTTAATCGGATTGCTATGAGTCAGGATGCACTCATCGGCAAGCATTTTGGGAGAGCAGGGCTGTCTGGGCTGTGTGGAGGGTTAGCTGCATGTCTCCCCCTCCTGAGATTGGGGCTACCTTGAGAGGAGAAAGACCATCTTGTATGGTTTTTATGGTTTCCAGGGTATCATGCCAAGCAGAACAATTTGTACCAGATTCTTAGGGATAGTTTGAAGCTATGAAAAATCATGTGACAACTGATTAACTCTTGACTTATCTGCATTTGGAGGAGAAAGGAATATAGTCAATTAAAATTCCTATGTCTATTTGTGCTTGTGGCATGGTGTTTAGAGCAGCGTTTTTATTGATCTACTTTACCGAATGGGAGGTTTGGATCGAAATGCCCAGGCTTTACCTGAGCCTGCCCAACTGTTAGTAGAGCAGCCCCTAAGGAGAGAGACATCAGGCTGAAAGGAAAATTTGACTGAGTTGATGGGCTTTAAAAGTTGACTATTGGGTAATCATTTGGGGGCTGGTTTATCTTTTCTTTCTAGCATGGTAATGACTCCAGTGCATTCTTATATTAGAGAGCCTTCCTCCCACCCCTCACACCCCCTGAAGTGAATATAAAATCCTTTACTATGAATAATTTCCTTTTTCTGTCTAACATCCTTGGGAGGTGGAGAGCGAGAGTGAGCACGGCTGTCTTCATTTTTCAGGTGGATGTATTAAGTGTGCTGCAAATATGAGTGGCTTGTTCAAGGTTTCAAAATTACTTACATGCAAGGAAGACCCGCTAAGCCCTGAAAAATACAAAAAAAACAAAAAAACATAGCCTAGAATGAGGTCTAAGTTTATGCTTGACTACCAGCAGTACTGTGGAAGAAAGACCTGGCAACCTACTTCCATAAGATCACAGCCATTGAAAACTCTACAGATCATAGTTATACTCCGAAGCACATGGGACTACATGTGTGAAATAACTCAATGGCAATGGATTCACCTTGGGTGAGATTCATCATCCAGGATGAAAAGACCTTAAAAGGTGACAGAGGTCAGAATCCGCTAAGCCTCACTGGCTTAACAAATGGTAGCTGTGTGCATAGTGCCCTCTGTGAGCCCTACTTGACTCAAGCTCAGCAATGCCCTGCCTCTGGGGACCCCACTGAACCCCTGTCCAGATTTTATGCTCTGCTATAAACTTTATTTCACAAGTTGGAAAAGGGATATTGCCTAACTAGAGCAAATGGGCCCAGAGTCCAAAAGACCCGTTGTGAATTGTTAAGACATTCTCACCCAAGAAGTTTCCTTTACCAATTTGTCTCACTAGAGCTGAAGAGTCTAGAGTGCTTCCTCACACCCCCACTATCAAGGGTAAACATCCTGTGAGGTCCCTGGCACAGGTCCTGGAACTGCTCCCCCAGCAGGGCCCTGCTCTTCCCTTCAGTGCCTGTGTCCTCTCTCCAGCCTGTGCCAAGTCTGACCATGGTTGAGACTCTCCCAGGCCACGGCTTTCCCAATTCAAAATGTTTGCAAGTCTTTTTGACCATAGATGGTCCATTGAACTGGCTCTATTGGGATTTCATCTGCTTTGACATTTTGGCGAGTGCCCTTTGGAAGCTATACTACATATAATTGCCTGTGTCTGAGTTCAGCAAAGCCTGCAGGAGCTTTTACCCCATTTCAAACATGTGGCAGTATTGGCCCGCCACATAGTGGCTTTGAAATCTGAGAACCAGTTTATAGTTATCTGTCTCCACACCTTATCTTTCATAGGATCCCAACTTCTTCATGCTTTTCCCTATTTGGAAGGAGAGCTATTTCTGGTCTCACATTGATTTAGGTCCTACTACCTTGCTTCCCCTCTAAGTTGTCCATGTCCTCCCGAGGCTCTGGAATTGAAAAGTTGCCTCCCAGCTATTCTTTGATTAACTGGAACACACTTTACATCTTTCTGACGATGCATAACATATACTTCTGACTTTACTGGGTTGGCGTGTGTGGAATTTGTATATTACACAGTGAGCAGAATGCGCACATGAGTGGCTGCCAGATGAATGGAGTTGAGGAGCTTGGTTTTAAATGCTTTTGCTTTTGTCCTCAGTCAGGTGATAACAGCCCTTGTCGTTTCCTATAGGTATCATTGGTGGACTGACGAGTGTTATAACCTCAACAGTTGAAGGTGTGAAAACGGAAGGGGGTGTCAGCGGTTTCATATCTGGCCTTGGGAAAGGCCTTGTTGGCACTGTAACCAAGCCAGTGGCGGGCGCCCTGGATTTTGCATCAGAAACAGCCCAAGCAGTGAGAGACACAGCCACGCTCAGCGGCCCCAGGTCAGTGGTCTTGGGCAGGGAGCCACTTGGGCAGGGGCCAGTGGCTTTTGTAATTGCTTATAATCCATACTGATGCATTTTATTATATACCCACTGCTTTAATTATGTGACTTTTTTAACCTCAGTAAGTACAGCAAACTTCTCACCTTATAGGAATACTTGAAAATTAGGCACAAAAAGCTGGCTGACACATTTTCCCAGATACATACATTGCTTATGAATAATAACATAAGATTTCATTCTTACATGCCTTTGGTCACCAAGGCAACTGGAGCCCCCCATCTGCCCATTAAGACAACTGACAGATAACTGTAAGCAGGGTCCTTGCGGCTAGGCCCCATAACTAGTTCTAGAATCCCTGCCATAGAGGTTCACTAGGTAGCTCTATCCCACTAGTTTTCCTTCACCTTTAGAGTACTAGCCAATACCTTAACCATAGAAAGACAAGAAACTATAAACAAGTCATGAAGTTCTGCTGTGGGATGTTGTCTTGCCTCAATACCAGCTGAGACTGGAAATCAGGGACAGACAATATAGCTCTAAGTCTCACAGAACCTAAGCACTTGTATTATCTATTTATTTTAGTGACTTATTTAGCCTCCCCTTTTCAGGATAACTAATTGGGGATTCTTATCAACTAAAGATGTAATTAATGCTATGGTTCTCAGCCAAGCTGAACTTGACTGCATCCAGAAAGATTTTGTTGCTGCCTGAGTAGTACATGCTCCTTGAAGAGTCCTTGTGCCCTCGACAGTGCTCTCATTCTATCGCTCCCTTTAATAGAATTTTCAGGGAAATTGTTCCCAATTCAAAGGAAACCTCTGTGTGTCACCTTGCAACCTTCCTGACTCCATACTACCGCAGGAGGGAGATGCTAGAGACTGTAGTCTGGAACCATGTAACGTGTGCTGCCAGAATTTCTCCCATCTAGAAACCACTGCTTTCTAAAAAAGGATCTGCAGGGTTTACTTCAGTTAAATTGCCTTCTATTCTCAGATATATAGGAAGAACAATCTTTGGAGCATTTATAAAAGTAGGGGTAGGCGGGACAGCAGGGAGACTTCAAATGTATTTCCAATGAATTTTTCCATGTCCTGCTCGAGTCCTAAGAAATGTATCCCCAACATTTTGTAAGAACAATAAGATCCAGTGACATATACGTGTGAGGCAAAAGACCCCTAAGAATTCAAAAAAGAACTATCCTTATTCTTAAAATGGGATGAGTGGATTGGTTTCAAAAAGAATTTGAAGAACATGCATTTCTAAAATATGATTCCTGATCACTTGACTGTATACTCTGCCAGTTTTGAAGTGTTGATAAAGCCTGGCGCAAGGCATATAGCCATGGTGACTACAGAAAGGTGTTCTTGTCATGTTGTTGAGCTGTGCAACATTGCCACTGAAGATGTGATTTTGTGTCATTTATTCATTCATTCATTTTGGGCCAGTAAACTTTGGTTGAAGACTTCCTCTGAAACTGGGATTGGGAATGTAGCAGAAAGCAAGACTGTCCCTGATCTCAAAGACTGACAACTGAGTTGGGCAGCAAACCTAAAACAAACAATTATTTTTGCTGAAATTGTGATAAATGCTATAAAGGGGATGTCCAGGGTACTATAAACTATTTAACTAGAGAGAGAAAAAAGGTTGGCTAACCTTTTGGCCAGTGGTATTAAGAAAGTCTTTCCCAGAACTGGATGGAAGAGTTGGCCATGGGACGAAACGAGAGGATTGCAGTTCCAGGCAATATGGGATGGCATGTGCAACACTGAGAGGTTGAAAGAATGTGCCACTTAGCTACATGCCCAGCTTTCTGCACACTGGGTCTCATTTTCCCATTTCATCTACAAATGAGGACAAGAACATTCAAAGCCATCATGCCCAAGGCCTCCAAGGCCACACAACTAGTCTCAGCACTCCCATAGTGCGCTGCACTGCCTTGACTGGGTGCCCTTCTTGGATTCCTCCCACAGCAGTGTCAGGATCACCTGTTTTCAGACTAAAGAGTGCTCCCCAAGGTCTACCTTGTTGACTCGAGCTTGACTTTCACTCTCACAGCACTTGCACATGACGCAGGACCCTGACTCCATATCTTGAGCAGCCTCACATTTTACTTTCTTGTTCTACTCCTTGTCTTGTTAGCATTATCAGGATCTCAACAGCAAGCACCCTGGCCTCCAGGATGTGCTTCACTTGGAACCATACTGAATGGAGACAGAGTGCAACCATTAGTAGTCAGCTCTGATCATTCTTCATCACAGCCCATTTATGCTATATTTTTTCTATGTAAATGAGGTACCTGAGGCACAAAGAAATCATGCAGCTTGCTGTATAATCAACAGTACTGGCTATATAATTGGGCCACTGGTCTGCTACTTTGCTGTACTACAGTGGCTTGTGGGTGCTACAGTGCTGGAAGCTATGTCATCAGTATTTCAAATATCAATGGGATCACTCGTGGTGGACAGGTCTTTGTGGCTCTTCTCAACTAAGACAGACTGGGGGGAAGAGGCTGGCAGTGTACCGCTAAAATATTGACTTGTGAAAACCTTATGAATAGCAGTGGAGTAATGTCTGATAGTGCTGGAAGATGAGCCCCTTCAGTGGGAAGGCACTCAACATGCAATGGGAAAAACAGTCTCTTTAAAGTAGAATTGACCTTAATGATGTGGATGTACCAAAGCTTTCAGTATCTTCATTTGCTGATATGACACCATGGAAAATGAGGAGAAACCGCTTCAGACATCCATTCATAATTAAAAGTTGGAAGTGTTCAAGATGGAACTTTTGAAGATGGATATCCTAGGCATTTGGGAAATTGACTTGAAATGGACTGGTATTAGTCATTTTAAATCCGTCAGTCATAAGCACTACAATGCTGGGAATGGAAAATTGAAGAGAAACGACATCATTTTCATCAGTAAGAAGAACATTTCCAGCTCTGTCTGAAGTGCAATGCTGTCAGTGATAGGATAATATCCATATGCCTACAAGGACTATTACTCAAATTTTTGTACCAACCACTAATAACAAAGATGAAGATTTGAAGATTTTTACCTTCTTCTGTCTGAAATCAATCAAACATGCAACCAAGATGCATTAGCTCTATTACCTGTGATTGGAATGTGAACATTAAAAATAAAGAAGGATCAGGAGTTGGAAAATACTGCTTGGCAATAAAAATAATACCAGGGATCACATGATAGAATTTTCTTTTTCTTTTTTAACATTTTATTAGGGGCTCATACAACTGTTATCCCAATCCATACACACATCAATTATGTAAAGCGCATTTGTACATCGTTTCTCAAAACATTTTCTCTCCATTTAAACCCCCGACATTAGGTCCTCATTTTTCCCCTCCCTCCCCTCATGATAGAATTTTTAAGACCAATTACCTAAATTGAGTAGCTAAAGCAAGTGGAAAAAATGATGAAGAAAAGAAGACTGAACAGAAGATTTCAAAGGGCACCTTGAGAAGACAAAGTTTATGGTGAAATGTGGAAAGGCCTGGAGTTGAAAAATCGAAGGGAGAAACAGGCTCAGCATTTTACAAGCAGAAAAAAATGATTACCTGTGTTATGTTGACTATGCAAAGGCAACAACTGGGTGAATAAGCATCACGATTAACAGAGAAAGTTCTGACATTGTCAAGGATTTCATTTCATACGTACTACTCATTTATCTACTATCTCATTATCTGACATATGTCATTTGTGACAACTCTGGAACATTTTCAGGCAGTATCTTCAGTGGTTTGGAGTCCGACATGGCACCAAGGCCGGTCCAGCCACCCTGAATGATAGGGTGCAGGGTGATGACAGGCAAAGGCCTGAAAGTGCAGGGGGAGCCAATGGAAGGGAGCGTATGGCAGGAAGAGAAAGACTTAAGGACCAGGGTAGATGGAGAATGAGCAGGGTCCCCACTCAGAACTGGCTATTGGAAGCAGTAGGCAATAGGCAATACCCAGCCACCAGTGTCCCTGTGATGGTGGGAAAGGGGTTCTGCCACACCACCTGCATCCTCGGATTCCACCCGGGATTCCAATGAGTGGTGATTGTCTGGGAGAGAGGGGGGACCACAGAACAACCTGGTCTTTGGAACCTTAGTAATTCAGGAATGGGTTTACTTGGATCCTCAATCAGTGTTCTTGGAAGCAGCTGTCAAGAAATCCTACAAAATACCTCTTTAAAGTATTAAAAAACAAAGATGTCACTTTGAGGACTAAGGTGCCTAACCCAAGTCAAGGCATTTTCAATCACCTTATATGCAGATGAGTGCTGGACAATGAATAAGGAAGACCAAAGAATTGATGCCTTTGAATCATGGGTTTGTAAAGAATGTCACATACATCACAGATGGCCTAAAGATGGAACAAATCTGCCTTGGAAGAAGTATAGCTGAAATGTTCCTTATAAGCAAGTATGGTGAACTCACTGAACATATTAGTAGGAGGGACTAATCTCTAGAGGAGAACATTGGTTCAGTCCGTGAAAAAGAGGAAGACCCTTGATTAGATGGATGGTGGCTATAGCATTGGGCTCAAACGGCAACAATTGTGAGGATAGTGCAGGACATTCTGCTATTCATAGGGTCCCTGTGAGTGGACTGACTTGATGGCATCTAACAATGACAACACTTAATGTTTATCTGCAAACTTCCCCAAACAGCTCTCTGCCTAGCTGGTCACCTCTTGGAGGAGCACAGGCTTCAGTAGTAGGTGAGGAGTGCCAGGGAGGTGTGGGCCCATGGGCATGGACGCTCAGAAGGGTTGGAACTAAGCTGCAAATCCTCTCCGTTTCTGGAGGAGCCCAGAGAGGGAACGTCAAAGCAGAAGTCGCACCTGCTAACCAACCCCCACCCCCACCAAAAAAAAAAGAACCACTTGCTGTTAATTCAGTTTTAACGAATGGGCACCCTTTGGTTGCAGAGTGGAACTCTGGTCATGCTCCCCACCCCACCCCCCAAAAAAACCCAACTCACTGCCATTGAGTCAATGC